GAGTGAGGCGGCAGACCGGCATTTTCGAACAACAGCAAGATGGATAATTGTACAGCTTCATTCATCTCGTACGTAATGTACGTGTTACTGATTGTGCAGATAAGGTTATCCCTCGTGGTCATGGTGATTTCGAGAGGCAGACAAGAACGTCGTATGCTGTTGGAGGGCTACAACAATAGCATGTCTTGTCTGTTCCGGGGTCATACGCCAGCGCGGGCAGCGTGGACCATGCGCACATGCATTGTCTAGTTTAACTCTGATTAAAGCCCCGACTGTATCTAGGCTAACGGCTAACATGCTAACTATTATTTTTATGTCACTAGTCACTTGAAACAAATTTAGGACGATAGGAGACAGGTTGAAATAAACCAAAATTTCCCTTTAAGGCAATAATTCGTTTTTTTCAAGTGTCATGTAAACGTACTGAGTGACGACAGAGAACTCTTAGAAACTGATCTGAAAACAGGAAGTGTTGTCAGATTGGTTTGCTCTCAGAACAGCCAAGTGTTGAATCAAGAAGTACAAGTATTAGGTACTCGTACTTAGAGGTGTACTTCACCCAGATTTGTATCAAAACATTGTGGGTAGTGTGTGTGTAGAAGAACTGTGGTAAACTTCCCTCCAGTTCACCTGTACCTACATCTCCCTGCTCCCCTCCCAGTGACACTTCGCCAGATGATGCGGATGACGAATAACAGGTCACCCAGCAGAATTATGCAGGCTCTCCTGGGCTGTTGCTTGAATCACAGGCTGTTTCCACGATTTCATATTGCCCGTCACTGCGGACAATATGAGTATAGAAGCAGATCAAGAGACACACCCCTCCCTCTGTCTCTCTCAAACTCCAAACTCCAATCAAGCGCATACTAAGCAGTGCTGATCGAATATAAACCAAGATTATGTTTCTGCACTGCCTATACTTGCCTAAAATTTACTGTTTAGCAGTAATAAGGTGAATTTGTGAACAGGAAGTGGATGACATAGTGTTTCCTGCACAGTGAAAACAGAGGCTGAAAAAAACAAGATCAAAACTAAGAGTGTTGCTGACCAAATAGAAACCAAGACTGTGTTACTGCTTTGCCTATTTATGGCCTCAGATGTTTTCAGAAACATGTTTTGGGTCACTGTTTATCTGTAATATGAGGTTGTGTGTTACCAGCTGGCCGCCATCATGTCAAACAGAGGAGTTCCCATTACATCACCCACCAGCAGGAGCTTAGGTTTTCTACGTCTGGAGCAAAAGCGAATGTAACAAGTCCTTTTTCTGTGTTTTCTCTGGTTATGTAGCACCAATTTCAAAACCATTTATGTCTGTCTACAGCACAGACGGCCCAGTTTTATGAACAGGACGTCTTTTCAGCAGTAAAATGCTTCTTTAACTTGAGTCCAGGATAGACTGTGACAAAGAGAGGCCTCCGACAGATACATGGTGTAATGTTTTGTCTGGATTTTTATTCATGTGTTCTACTCTTCTTCTTGTGGAGCTCTTTGTAACTCTGGCTGTAAACCTGATGCACAGACACAGGTGTGATGTTTCAGATTCAATTATAATCAGTTTTGATGTCAGGGAGCCAAAGTGGTGTGTGTTTATCACCAAAATAAAAGCTCTGATTCAGCCTCTGTGATGAACATGTCCTCTGTTGTCTTTCAGAATCTACATCGTCCACGACGAGGTGAAGGACAAAGCCTTCGAGTTGGAGCTCAGCTGGGTCGGAGAAGGTAAGGTCTCAACCATCAGTGTTCTGCTTTTCTTCTTCTATTACTGCTCCATCTGTCTGTCTGCAGCTGCTCATGTAAAGCTTCCACTTCCTGTTTAAAGCTCGTTTTTTAGTATTCATATAGATTTCTTTAAAATGACTTTTTAAAGTCCAGATGAAGCTGCGTTTGGAGAGCACCTAGCTTCAGTATCGTGAAATAGGATAGACAGGCAGGATATGACGTTGGGAGGAATAGCTTCTTTGCATATCTCGCACTTATTCAGTCTCTCTTTCAAACTTGTTGTTTGAGCGCTGGTTGGACGGAGACGGTGGCATTTTGTGTTGGCGTGTCTTTGCATCTCGCTGGTAAAGGAGCTAAAATTGGCGTATTCACCTGGCTGTTTTGTTCCCATCAGTGCCGATCAGAGCTGGAGGTGATAAATACTTGTGACTACTGCAGAGTCACTTGACCTGGGTGTGAAGGCCGACTAAATCTTTTCTCCTTGCATTAAAAAGCCAGATGTTAGCAGGTGTTAATGGATTTTTGTGAAGTGGGAAAGTGGCTTTAGTAAACAGAAAAGGGCAGAAGAAAAAGAGATGTACATTTTTACACGTAGTCCAGGTGTCTGGCTGTGGACAGACGTGTCGCCTGACACATCTGGATGCTGTGTCTGTTCAGGTAGACGCAGTCTGAAGCTGTCAATAGATTAAGATCAAAAACTTTTGCGCATCTTCATGGACGAACACAGGCATCTGCTGCTTCCAGTGTTATTTGGTCCGCCAGAAATTACGGTTTTGGATAAGACCTGGTTAAACCAGGAGATGGTGGGACAACGCAGCACCATTTGTATCTTTGACTGAGCTCTGTTGTCCTCACATCGATCAGGAAAAAACGGTGATGAGAGGTCCGGTAGGTGTTCTAAAAAAAGGTACTGTTAGCGTGTGCACTTGTCTTCGCATTGAAAGGAGATGGTGGAAGACAGCTAACGCCAGAGAGCGTTTAGAGTCATTTTTGTTTCATAGTGCGTACAGAGACAGATTTTTCTTTTCTTTTCTTTTTTTTACAACAGAGAGAGATTTCATGTTTTCATGTTTATGATGTCATGTCGTTGAATCAGTGGCTTGAACCTGAGCAGGTAAACACTCTGTTAATCACTGAGGAAACAGGAGAACACTCTGTCACCTCCTCCTGTTCCTGCTGATGCTCGGGTTGCCATGGCGACACCTCTGACTCCCCTCCGCTCTGTCTCCTCTCCCCTCAGTTACAAACGGACGACACGAGCTGGTACCCAAAGACGTCAGAGAGGAAGCTGAGAAATACGCCAAGGTGAGCTCGCACGTAGACATGCTCACAGACACACACACACACACACACACACACACACACACACACACAGAGCTGCAGTCGGCTGATTCTGGTGTTTGTGTGTGTTTCAGGACTCTCTGGAGGAGGAGGACGACTCTGATGAAGACAACATGTAGACTCATCTCTGCTCACACACACACACATCAGATTTTTTTTTATGTTTTATAGTTCATGAACATTCATGTCGGTTGTTTTTGCTTTGGATGAATTTCAGCTTTGAAAATAAAAAAAAAGTTGAAGAACATGTGCTTCTTTTTGTCTGACTCATGACATCACTGACAGAGTAGCAGCAGTGGATAGTAACTAAGTACATTTACTCAAGTACAACTTCGGGGTACTTTAGTATTTATTTTTTCTGTTACTTCCTTCTCCTCCATCTCAGAGGGAAATACTTTACTTTTTACTGCACTACATTTGTCAGACAGCTTCAGTTACTTCCTGTCCATTGACAACCATTTGTGATAAAGGATGAAGTTTTCCTTTATGTGCTGAGAAAATTCCTCTTCTTCTTAAGCTAAATAAACTCTTTGGAAACGGTCTTGGATCAGCTGGAAAATGCATCGTCACAAAGCTGAAAACAGGGCTGCTTCTTTGACACCATGTTAAGTTGACTCTTCAGGGACACATGCTTCTCACAGGACAGACACGCTACAAACATGATATGAGGAATATGATGAATCGCTGTAGATTAAATCACCCAACAGGATATAAAGGAGCAAAAATGAGCTCAACCTTAAACATCTACTGCAGTAAAATGCAACAGTATAGTTACTATAGTGGAGTATTCTCACAGTGTGGTGTTAGTACTTTTACTGCAGTAAAGTATCTGAACACTTGTGTCCACTTAGAGACAAACTTCACCTGTCGGTATGAATGCTCGTGACAGGCAGCCACGAGTGTGCTCGCCCTGCGTTTGTTGTGTAGAAATAACCTCCAGAGAGGAAGATGACATATAAGGCTCTGCCGTCACTCTCTTCCTGTTACGTAAAAGGACGACGAGCACGCCCACTCCGGCTCTTTACAAACGGCGCCACAAACACCGACTGTCTCCGACAAAAAACCTGACGCCTGTTCCCGTGATCCTCCGTAAAATATGTACTTATCGTCTTCAGTGCTTGAGTCCAGCTCGTCGTCTGGATGTTTGTGACGTAAAAACTACAGTGGAGCGGTTTGTTGTGAAGACTGGTACACCAAGATCCCCGATATGTGACGTTGTCTCACATATGGAAACCGCATCGCCAAAGTACATTTAAAAAAACGCCCACTGAATGTTTGCAGCGGTCAATGTGAAGTTGACGACGTGATATAACATAAATTAGGACATTTAACAACGTTAAAATAGCACCTGTTCATTTCGGCACACTTGTCATGCAACAAGCAGTGCGTGTTTAAATATAAATTAAACTTTTGTTCACTGTTTAACCTCTTTTTCCGGTTATTTCAGAGCGGTAGCATTTGCACTGAAACGTGGTGGCAAACCAAGCGAAACGGTGTCGTTGTTTAAATTTTGTGTATTTTACCTGATGTTTTTCGGGTAAATAAATAAGAAATGTTGTTGGTTTCCAAAATGCAGCGTGTGTTTTTCTTTAACGTACAAAGCTATGTCGATAAACAAGGTTATTTTCACTCCGAGGATTTTTGAATGGAGTTTGGTCTGCTGCTCTCCAGCACGTATTGGGGCAGGGCTTCCTCCAGTGTTGGTACAGACAAGGAAGCCCGCTCAGCCAATAGGAATGCGCCATTTCTGAGAACAGAACGCGACAAGCCAATAGCGATCTCCGGTGGTGGGTTTTTCTTTTGTACTCGCCTCTGATTGGACAATTATCCAACAGATGCCGTCATTTCCCTCGTGGCGCCGCGTTCGTATCGACCAATGGCGGCGCCAGAAGAGATATGTCCTATTAAAATTGAGGAATGGGTCGACCAATCAGATTTCCCCGCTGCAACCACCGCTGTCAGCGCAACCAATCGCGTGTCGGGAAACAGAGCTCGGGGCTCAACAGCTTGTTGTTCGTGTATCGCTTTGCAACCCGAGCGAGAGGGGAAGCAGCCGCGTCCGTGAATGTAAGTATAAAATTCTTCCTATTCTGCCCTGAACCGAGCTTAAACTTATAACAGGTACAATCACCGGCGGACCGGAGACAGAGGGCCGTGTGGATGTCACCGGAGAGACCGGGAGGGTTCCAGTTAGACGCTGTTGTAACGAGCTGACTGTGAATTGAATGGCAGCGGCGGTCGGCTTGTTTTTGCAGTGAAGAAATGTGAAGCTTCTGCGCCTTTGTGGAGCGGCCACATATTAAATAAATAAATCCACAACAGTTTTTGTTCCGTCGAATGTCACACGGTCCGGCTCGGCTCGACACAAACTTAGTTTAGCCCGGAAACGGTGGCTAATGTTGCCGTTAGCCGAGCCCGCTGTGGTGTTATCAGACGGTTTAAATCGCCATATGATCCACAGACCAGCTAGTTGAGTCGCTAGTTAGCCAACTAGCTAAATTTAGCCCCGGAGAGTGAACCCGCCGCTCGGTTCTCCGCTCAAACAGCCGTTGTGTGGACTTTGCTCGTGTTGTGACTCGGTTATATATGAACCGGGTGTCTGTCCCCAGCAGCTGGTCGCTAGCAGGCGGTTTTTTGGGGGGGAGGTAAAGTTAGCCGAGCTAGCCGAGCTGACATGGCGAGCTGTGATGGCGACGCGGAGCGGAGCGGGAAGGAACGCTCCTCTCCGGCCGCCGCGCTGTTCGTCTCACCGTGTCCCCTCACGGACCCGCCGATATTTAACCTCCAACCTGCTGAAACCGGCGGCTCCTTGTTCAGTACAAGCATACGTCGCTAGCTAAGTTAGTGTGAGCTGTTTGTGCCACATATTAGATCTGATCCAGGCAGGGAGGAGGAGGAGGGAGGGGGCCACACCGAGCCAGGGAAGAATGCCTGAGCTAACACAAGTGAGAGGCTAGTTGGTTAGCTTAGCATTATTTTAACAACCTCAGGACAGCATGACACCCTGTCCCTGTCTGTCCCCTCATGTGTCGCCAACTTTAATCACGAGTCCCGCCTTGTCTGTGTCTTTCAGTGAACCACAATCTTCCGAGCTGGACTCCCTCAAATAGCCGGAAAGATGAAGGTGAGTGTTTGACCTGCGACACAAGCTGTTCCCACTCTCAGCTCCATGTCTGCTGGGACCTTTAAACTGGGCTCAGATCATGGTCTTGTACTGGTGTCTGACCAGTCATCTCAGCACAGTTTATATCCAGCTTTTACACTGATGGTCACACACACACACACAGTAATAACCTCCTGTTTCAATCAAAGTCAATGGAGGAACAACACATCTGTTACCGTCTGCAGGCCTGACATGAACATGTTTTAAACATTTTCAGTGTAAGGATCCTGGTCTTGGTCTCATGTCACAGGGAACAGAATATCTAGTAACAGTAATATAACAAGCTGTTTAAATACTCCACCTTAGGTTTGTATATTTTTACTATATTCTGATGTTTTATGGACAAAGTGACTTAAATTAATCTGTAGATGATTTGTTAAGTAACACAACAGTTAACTGCAGCCCTAACCCTCAGTATCACCCGCCCTACTGTTAATACACATATATGGATCATTTCTAAACATAAGTCTCCACATCAGCTCCCAAACAAAGATGGCAGTTGTAAACCTGTCACTTATCTGGTTGCCATCTTATTTTGGGTCCTGGTCTGGACATGGACTCTGTGAGACTTGTTAAACCTGTCCTTCTCAGTACAGCAGAGGAACCAGGAGAACTAACAGCTTTTTCTGTGAATGACATCCATATATTAACACAGAAGTCTTAAATGTAAAATGGATTAAATTGCGGAAGAAACTGGAGCTAGGTCCAGACCTTCAGTCTGCCACAAACAGTTTAACTCCCAGACTAAGTTTAGTGTATTTAAAGGAATACTTCACCAGCAAAATGATCATTTGTACATCAGTTACTCATGTTGTGTTACACTGAGTTTATGAAGACAACTTATTTTTTCTCTCACTTGCGCAGTATAATCCAAGTCTCATTTGTCCAAGTTGTATGCTCAGTACATCACAAACCCATGACTGTTCACTTAGATATATCAATATAAAACGCTTCTGCCTTCAAGTAGCCTGCCTGAGCGCGTGCATGCGTAGAAGCTCCACATGAGCGGAGTTCCAACGCAGACACAAGCCCAGACAGGCTACTCAGCTGTGCCTGAGACTGTTTGTACTGATGTGTTTTAAATAATAATGTTGTAGTGAAAATGCACATGTTTTGAATTACAGATGTCAGTGGGTAACTGTTAATCGTTAACTGCAGAGAATATTTTTGACTGGTTACACGTCGGTCTAAAGGTTAATTTTACCACTCTTCAGTTCAGTAGTAGTGCCAACACTATGCTGTACCACAGCCAAGCTAATAAGTTATACATGTTACACTGGTTAGCCAGTTGCCAGTGCTCTGAATCGTGCACCATGTGGTGAGCCAGCTAGTGGTGCTGCTCATTTGGCAGTTACCGCAGGTCAGGATGGTGCTGTTGCAGAAACATTGTGCCCACCCTCTGGTCTCCCCCCAGGATAATTGTTAACTAAGTTATCACAGTTAGCACCATTAGCAGCTTCAGTGCGGCTAGTGGTGCTAACATGGTTAACAATGCTAAAGAGGTTTTGGATCAAAATGAACTGTTTACTCACTGGTTCCCACCAGTGTTACCAACAGTAATCACTGAATGAGTGCTACTGCTTGCTAGCTCCCACCAGGCCAGTATACAGTGCAGAGTGGAGTACAGGTGGAGACAGTGGGGTAGGCATTGGACACTATGTTTTAGTGGGCTAATGTGGTTGGCTGTCTGTCAGCAGAGCCAACAGGAAATAGAATAAAAGGCAAAACATCTACAACACAAAACATCAGAATTTCACCACCTCTAAACAGATTGTGTTTTGAAATGTGGCGCTAAAGCTCGATGAGTCTGTGGAGCGACAGACTAAAAGGAAGGGCCTCTTATATTTCACATTGTTCTGCTTTTTTTCATTTAAATTAACCTGTTAGTTACCAGTTAATGGGTGTTAGACTATCAAAAGCAAAATGAACCAAAACTGACATTCCCTACTTTAATTAGTGCTGAGCATACAGCTGTATAAATGACACATGGAGTATGCTGCACGAGTTGTGTGAGAGTTTGTTAACAGATGTTTTGATAAAGTTTTGCCGTTGTTAAACGTGGACGCCATTTACTTCAATTCACCTTTTTGGGATTCTCCGTTCACTGGAGGCATGAGAGGAAAACACAGTGTAATATGCAGCAAGTTATTGATATAACTGATAAATAGTCATTTAGTGTTCCTTTAATCGAGACTAATGTTAGCAGCTAACTATGCTACAAAGGGCTAAAATGGAGTCGTATCATTAAATGTCAGGTTTTAGCCAAAGCCACATCATCAGCTGCAGCTCCTCTGCTGTGTGCTGTATTGCATGCTGGGAGTGTGTGTGTGTCTTGATGTTTCCAATATGTGTGTGTGTTTCAGGCAGCAGACGAGCCTGCCTACCTGACAGTGGGGACGGATGTCAGTGCCAAATACAGAGGAGCGTTCTGTGAGGCCAAGATCAAGACTGTTAAACGCATGGTGAAGGTGAAGGTAAGGCTCACAGCTGACAGGAAGTCCAGCTGGTGACCAAATAATAGAGCAGTCTGGCATGTTCATAAAATGACATCATGTATTGTAATGCAGCTTTTAAAACCAGGAAAAGGAAGTGGGAAATGTCTTCTTGATTATAGTGATCCAACATTTACATTCAGGATAATGAGGGAAACTTTTTAACAGCTTCAAAAGCCATTTTACATTATATAACATATCATACCTCACCCCTCTAATATCTATTTTATATTGCTGTGAAAACATCAACAACTTTGTTTCTCACCAAAAACTACATATTAAAGATTATACTTAACACATCACGACAAGGTCATAATTTACCTTTTACCAACACAGTTTTACCGAAGAGAGCTTGAACGCATCATAATGTGAATAAGTGCATTCTTCGTAAGCTGTTAGCTCCAGCTGCTAACTCTGACTAGCATTATCAGGGAAACAACAGGGTGCGTCCTCTGATGAGTTGATAGTTAGTTCACTGTGTCCTTTTGTCCTGGAGATGTCTAAGTGAAGGTCTCTGTTCGTCCCAAGCATGTTTTCTACCGACAATTGGACGCTGTTAGTTTGGAGTCCTGCTTCATAGCCTGCAACACAACAGAAAAACCTCAGTGAACATCATCTTGTTTGCTGATAGGCTGATGGCAGTCAACAAGGTGAATATCAGTGATACCGATGTTCATCCCATAAATCAGTGCATCTCTAACAACAGCTGCTGTTTAATCTTTGGTAGACTATCACCAGGTGAACAGCAGAAAAACACATTGCAGTGTTATCCACCAGAAGAGTGTGTGATTTGTTGGATGATGATGAGTCAGGTTAGTTTTTACTGTGTCAGTCTGAGCGTGGTGAAGTATCTGTTTGGTTGTCTTCGGTCTCTCTGTGAGGTCTGTGCACGCGTCATGTGATTCAGAAGAGCAGTGATAAAGTGAAGCAGCAGAAACAGTGGACTTCTGTTCAGTTTGTCTAGTATTTAAAGAAGTATTTGAGAAGCAGCAGCATGTCCACATATGTCTCCGTCTGCTGTCTCTGAGAATACATGATTCACATGTCTTCATCTGTCTGTGTCTCCAGGTCAATCTGAAAGGTGAGAGTACGTCCCAGGTGGTGCAGGATGACCAAATCAAAGGACCACTGAGGGTAAGATGATGATGATGATGATGATGATGATGAGTGTGTGTGTGTGTGTCTGATGTTGAGCCTTCAGCTCGCTGCAGAGTGAGTCATCATCACCTTGGAAATGGGGAAAACTAAATCCTTGTCGTGAGACGTAAATATGTATTAATGAAAGATGTTTGTGTCTCTGTGTGTCCTTCAGGTGGGCTCCACTGTGGAGGTGAAGACAAACGAGGGTATATCCAGCGAGGCTGTCATCAGTAAGCTGACAGACGCCAGCCTCTACACTGTGGGTGAGTGTCTGCTGCTGCCTGCTGATTGGTCCACACACTACAGGTGTAACGGTCCACAGGAGTCACAGATCAATTCAGCAGAAACACACAAAGCCATATGGACCTGTTACTTTTCATGTATTAAGAGCAGACAGGAGAGGAAAGACAGACACAGTCCTCCTGGTGAAGACTGAGGAAACATTTCTGTAAACTGTTTTCATGATAAAAACAAGGAACATGTCAAACAGGTTGTAGAAAATACGGGTTGTTTTTTCCTCGTCCTGCTGATCAGCACATCTGGGATATGATGTTGAAAGTGTGATAACATGTTGGATGTATTTCCATTCACAACGTAGACACACCCTCCTCATCTTACACACAACTTTCTGTGTTGTTGTTGAAGCTGAGCGGGAACCTGCAGGCAGGTCTTCAGCTCCGCTGTTTCATTTGAGTTCTCCATAGTGCGACTGACTCACAACCAATCAGCTTGTTGTGCTAGCCTCAGCACATGTTGCTAAAAGTTTCAGTAACCCCTTCTCCACCGAATTAGCTCTGGTTCTTGAACCTGTTCTGTTCAGGATTCTTGGAACCTTCTATCCAGTGAAGCAGCTTGCGTTTCCAACAGTTACGCACAGCACCATTGTAATCAATGATGTGTCTTCAGTGGAGGGTGTTGCTTAATAGACATAAATAGTCAAAGTAGATATCAGTTTTCACCACTAAACCAAACATGGATCAGACTTTTCTGAGACCACTGCGCGCTCTTTTTGTTCCGACTATTTCTCACTTGACTTTTCCGTTGTTGCCTTCTCCTGCTATTTTTTGGTTCAGAACCAAGTCTTCAGGTTTGAACCAATTTATTTCTGGCCGAATGCTCTGAACAGTTCAAATTGAAATGCGGGAACTGGAAGGGAAGTGGTTTCATGCTGGTGGAAAAGGGGTGTAAGTGAAACTTGTGGTTGTGAACTTTGCTTCCACATTACATACAGTCTGTGTATTCTTGACTGGTTCCCAGTGTCAAAGATTTTTACATAAAGCTCACACATTACAGTTTAAAGCCTCAACGTGAGTCACAGTTGGGTCAGTTTTATTTCTACAACCCGAAATCACAAATTCGACTCAGAGAGTTTTACAGTCTGAACATTCATCACCTGACAACTCCACGGAATGATGCTGTAGTGTTCAACACCACAAGAAGACAGACACAAGTATCAATAATAAACAGATTAACAGTCTCAGGTAGATGGATAATAAACACATGAAGACTTTAAAGCCATTTTTACACAGATGTCCCATCTTTATGCCTCCTTTGCACTTTTACATATAACCAAACAATGGTGGCATCATTCAGCTCCAGTGTGTGATCTTTGACAGAATTCTGTCAGAGCGGATTCAAAAGAGACGTAACAGGCATGACATGTAGCACAATGGCGTTGGCCTCTAGTGTGACATAACATACACATCACATACACATCAGCTGCGCTTTCTAAACAATAACAGTGACAGAACATGGCAGTAACAATCCTTTACTGTCCCTGTTATATAGCGGCTGATCTAGTGTGAGGAGCTTCTGAATCTCTTTTCCCAATTTGCAGACATTTTCTGCCACTTTTCTTCTCCTTTGAGTTAGCTGCTAACTGCTATCAGCTGCTTTTGAATTCTCCCATGGTGGGTGGCATGCATAACATGTCATCAAAATGTCACACCCATCCTGCTGGCTGTCCCGTTCATACAGACATGGTTTCAGCGCTGTTACTACCTCTGTGGTGGATTAAAGGCGAGACCACTCTGTCCCCCCATTCTGTGATCACACCTTATGTACAGTATGGCGAGGCAGCATAACTGCCAGATATTTCCTCCTTGAACAGGCAGTGTAAAAGGGTGTAAAAAGATGTTGAGGAATTCCCAGCCGCTGCCAAAACTCTTCTCCACCATGGAAGTCTGGGCTACGTTCGCCCTGACAGAAAACCTTTATTTAAACAGAAACAAATGTGCGTTGTGTTACTCAGGTGCACTGCCCTTAGCATGGTGTTGTTTATTTTAATTCAAAAGGCTTTATTGGCATCATGGAAAACATATGTTTACAATGCCAAAGCAAGTGTGAAACAAAGAAATCATGTACTATAGTACAATAAGTAAAGATCTACCAGAGTTTTTTTTTTTTTATGTAAACCTCAATGCTGATTGGGTAACACCTCTGATACTCCCACCAGACAAGAGAAAACAAACCTCAGAGCCCGTTGTGCACCGTTGCACACTGTTTTAAGATGGCAGTCAACCACGAAACCGTAGCAGAATGGTGCACACAGTGTTCAGACTGTACGTGCTCCTGATGAGAACACTCACCGCTGCAGGATCAACTCACTGATACAGTTCAGAAACTGTACTGACATGTTGTGTGTTTGATCTCTGAAGTGACTCATCCGCACGGTCAGAGGTCACATGACTGCAGGAGGCTGATGACACATCATACACTTTCATGAGTCTGTTTTAATGACTCAGGTGATTGAGAGAAGGAGTGGGAGGAGCTTCTGTTTGTGGAGCTTCAGAGTTTGTCTCCATGGAAACACAGCCGTCTCCTGGATCAGTGATCAGTGACCGGTCCATCTATTAAAAGCTGTTCTCGGATCAGATTCATAGAACGTGCTCAGTAACAGAAATTATTCAATAATAATAAGCCGTCATTCTTCCTACTTTCAGTCTCACACTGCACATGTGTGAGGTCACTGTGATGCCGAGATGATAGGCTGTGATTGGCTGATGGGGAGGAATGATGATGCTGAGAAAAGGTTTCGCTCAATGAGCTGATGATGTCAAGTGATGTCACAACTTCTCTTGGCTGTCTGACCAATCCCCTGTCAGGTTACCTGCAGACATGAACAGTAGGGGCTAACACGGTTCGCATGCTAACAGCAGCACTTTACTGTCATTAAGTTTGTCTCTGTGGATCACCAACTGTAGCCAATCAGCATCTTTCGTCTTCTTCTCCTGCTGTTTCTGTTGTTTCTCCTGCAGTTACAAAACAGGAAACTGTGTGTCCTAAATGACAGATGAGTCCCACCCCCTCTCTGATTGGAGAAATTTTAGATTTCGAAGGTCAAAGTTCAGATAACTGAAGAGTGTGTGTCTGTGCGTTTCAGTGTTTGACGATGGAGATGAGAAGACTCTTCGTCGTACATCTCTGTGTCTGAAGGGAGAGAGACATTTTGCAGAGAGCGAGGTAAGTCTCTCACAGACAGGCAGAGGGACTACTTATCACTCCGGTCTTCTTCCACCACTGTTTCTGAAATCATCTCAGTCTAATATGAGAACATCTTTTAATATCTGATTGTTTTCTCTGTCAGACGTTGGACCAGCTGCCGCTGACCAACCCGGAGCATTTCGGCACTCCGGTCATCGGCAAGAAGTCAAACCGTGGGGGGCGCCGTTCATCTCAGGCTGTGTGAGTTGGCTTTATTTAAACTTTATCAACAACACGGATTAAAGCAGATGTACAAAGAGCCTGTATGCTTCTTTAATTATAAATACACTACATGCATACATACGACACTCTGTAAAGATGGAAGTGTCTTATAAGATATAACATTATTGAGGGCAAATTTAGTCGCTTCAGCAGCACAAAGAAATTAGTACAAATAAATAATCCTATGATAAATAAAAATGATTAGAGGAAGAAGAATTATAGTAAGAGGTAGGGGTGCAGTGGTTCACAAAATTAACAGTTCAGCTCAATACAACACAGTGGTGTCGCGGTGATGATTTTTATCGACAAACAAACGAAATAATTGTGTGTCTGAAATGAAAGAAAAATTAAAAATTTAAAAGAAATTAAATGTGTAAACACTAAAATCTTAGTTTGGGCTTTTGTTTTGTACAAAGTAAGAAGTATGATCTTGCTGACACGGGCTCAGTTACATTAGTAAAGCCTGAGTTTTCCACTACAGAGTCAGGTCTATAATCGTGGTGTATATTTGCAGCTATAAATGTAATGATACCAGCCCCCACTGTGCTTTCTTTTTCCCTCTCTGAATCAGTTGGGAATGTCTGCCTAAATGCTGTGGAGATAACGTTAGCATGTAGCTTGTGTTGCTCCTTGTTTTTGTCTGGTTTCACCAACTGACACACTGGGGTGATGTCGGCGTAAATGAATTGACATGTTTAAAATATTCCCACTGATGTAACCTATTAACGTGTAGCAGATGTGACACGTAGTTTCTTTATCCACCACTCTCTCGCCATCTCCCTCATAATTCACAGCAAAACCAACGTGGCTCCAAACACCAGACCTGTCGGCTTGCTCTGACAATGGTGTTACTAACCATCTTGCTATGAGCTAGCTTAGCATAGCTGCCTTCCAGCTTGTCTCACTGGAACAGAATGTTTTTGGTTTGGGGGCTGGAGGGGTAGACAGCACCTTGCCTGTTAGGCTGTGTGGGCTACCTTGTTGAGCGCAGTGGTACTGTGAACATTATATTAGGAAAGGAGAGGTGGAGTGACACACAGCAAGGGCCGCAGGTTGGAATCGAACCCGGGCTGCTGCAAAGGCCTCAGAGAGCCTCAGAGCTATGGAGGGCGCCCTGACAACATTACATTAAACACAGTTTAAGCTGTATATTTTATTTTCAAATATAAAAGGAAAGTTCAAGGTATCATTCCGTTTGTAATGCGTACTGAACCTAAAGCATCTTACTGAGTGGTTTAACACAAATGTGTGTATTGTTACACCCCTAGGTAAGATGTTCAAAAGAGTGGAGGTAAAAATAGAAACCATCAAAGAGTAATGAAAGAAAAAGTTAGGAGGTAAAGATCACAGATCTCAAGATATTTATATTTATATAACTATAATTTCTAATTTTAGTCTATTTAGATTTATTAAGACATCTGAAAGAACATAAGATACAGTCAGCAGATTTATACCTGGAACCAAATTTAAGTCACTTCCTGTTTACTGTAAACCGGAATAATGACTCTCTGTCTGAATCTGTCTGTCCGTCTCAGGGCTGATGAGGAGAATGAGTCTTCGTCCAGTGAGGATGAGGAGGACGACAGGAGGAGGCTGAACGATGAGCTGCTGGGAAAGGTCTGCAGTATTGAGAATGAGGAGCCCAGCAGCTGGTACCTGGCTCTGGTAAACACAAGCACACACACACACACACACACACACACAAAGGGTTTCCATGGATCCTTCTTGAGAAGAAGTCTTAAGAGGCATTAAGGCCTTACTTGGTATTGAAATTTCTTAAATCAATCTTTCTAAGGTCCTAAAAAAGCTCAGACATGGGAAGTAGGTTTCTGATAACTCTTTAGTTTTTTCAGGCGTTGCTTTGTAACGTCTCAAAGTAAAATCTCTGCTGCTCACTTAAACTCAGATGACGATTCATCCAGTTAAAAGATATAACGTCAGATACAAAAGACCAAAATCTAAAAAGTACGTGACTTTAATAGTAAGAAAGTCCTCAGCTTGAAATGTGTTCTGGAGGGGACAAACTGTTCAGCCAACATTCCTTTTTCCATTTATTTATTCATTAATTTAGTTTTGAAACTCTGGCTGTGCTCATGTTTTTGTGGGTCCGTGAACGCAGCACAGGTGGAACTGGGTTCTTTTTTTCCTCAGCAGCAATTTGTGGAGTTTTAGGATGTGGGGTGGATCAGTGAGAGGAGCTGCTGCTACAGAGGCAAGCTTGTAAACCAAGCTCTTTAACATTTAAGTTTCACTTTCACTGTGCCCACGTCTATACCAAGAACAGGATCTGCAGTCCCCAAGTGTTGCAATGAATAAGCGAAAGGTGTATTTTTTTTTCTAGCAGCGATCATAATGAACGATCCAGGTCCAAAAATTAAAAAAATCAATATGTAGCGGCCGATTTTGTTTTAATCACAGCCCACCAAAAACCACCATGAATGTGTGGGAAACCCAGAACATGGTGAAGTGAAACTGGTGTGTAGTGATCTATCCACTCTTTCTAAAGGGTCTCTACTGTGTCACCTTAGACACGAGGACTCACTCAGGTGTGTGTGTCCTGCAGGTGGTGTCTCCCAGCTGTCACGATGAGCTGGTGGTGAAGAAGGATCAGTGTCTGGTCAGAGCCTTCAGCGACTGCAAGTTGTGAGTTTTCTTTTCTTATTACTGATCTTTGCTCAGAAGCTGATCGGCTGTGTCTCACCTTCGTCCTGTTTCCTGTTGTCTTGCAGCTACACGGTGGCAAGGAGACATGTCCACACCGTCAGCTCCATCAGCATCTCTGAGTACTCCTGCAGGAGAGGTGAGTCACTACAGCTCCCACCATGCACCAGGGCAGAGACTCAACGCTGACTCTTTTGTGCATTTTCATTTTTCTGCTTCTGTGTTTTCTCACTCCTCTCTGCTTCCTCCCCTTCGTCTTCCCCCAGGGTTTGAAGCAGCCGAGGAGTTCCTGAAGACCGGGGAGGTCCCAGATGTCTGGAAGATGGACATGAGTCAGATCCTGGACTCTTCCTCCAGCGATGATGAGGACGATGAAGATGAGAAGGAGAGTGATGAGGACGAGGAGGATGAAGACGAGAAGAAAAAGAAGAAACACATAAAGGAGGAGGTGAGTGTTACACATGGCTGTAGATGTTGACTTGTCTATCTGTAGATGGGGATCAGGTGTTTACCTGTCTGTCTGTGTGTCTGTCCAGCCAGAGGAGGAGCCAGATCCAGAGGAGAGAGACCACTTCCTGCAGCAGCTCTACAAGTTCATGGAGGACAGAGGTGAGACCTCAGGAATGGTTCAACTGCTGGAATGTGGCAGCATCTGTTCAAAGGCTCCTGTGTCAAAATCCAGTTTAAATCTTTTAATGTCTGTCTGTCCATCAGGGACTCCCATCAACAAGCCTCCAGTGTTGGGTTATAAAGACCTGAACCTCTTCAAGCTCTTCAGACTTGTCTATCACCATGGAGGCTGTCACAAGGTGAGCACTGTTTCCCTCCTTGTCTCCCTGTCTAATGATCAGCTGCCAGGCAAGTAGCTAGTTGACGATCAGCTGCCTGACTTCAGCCGTCTGACGCTCAGTTGCCTGACGTTCAGTTGCCTGACGTTCAGTTGCCTGACGTTCAGTTGCCTGACCATCAGCCGCCTGACCATCAGCCGCTTGATGCTCAGCTGCCTGACGATAAGCCGCCTGATGTTCAGTTGCCTGACGTTCAGTTGTCTGACGCTCAGTTGCCTGACGTTCAGCTGCCTGATGATCAGTTTTCTGTCTCCCTGTCCGTCTCCCTTCCTGTCTCTGTCACTGTGTTGTTGTGTTGTAGATTGAGTCTGGGACCGTGTGGAAGCAGGTCTACATGGATCTGGGAATCCCCGTCCTCAACTCTGCTGCTTCCTACAACGTCAAGACGGCCTACAAGAAGTAAGAGAACTCACCTAAGCACACCTCCACCTGGTTTCCCCATCAGCCCCCCCAGCTGTTTGCTAACAGTGTCACTTGTGTCATCAGGTACCTGTATGGGTTTGAGGAGTACTGCCGCTCCGCCTCCATCACCTTCAGGACCATCCATCACAACAACCCCCGCCCTCCCACCACAGCGGCAAATCACAAGCCACCGGCAGCAGAGATTAAAGAGCCCTCCACACCACCGATGAAGGCAGAGGCTGAGGATGACAAGGTGGAGGAGGCAGAGTCAGAGAGTGAGAGCGAAGAGGAAGAGGAGGAGGTGAAGGAGAGACAGTTGTCCCCGAGGGTGAGACACCAAGACATCAGACTTTAACCCACTTAATGTGAATTTTATAATTGTTAGGTGGTCTTCTTCTTCTTCTTCTTCATCTGCTTCTTCTTCTTCTTCTTCATCTGCTTCTTCTTCTTCTTCATCTGCTTCTTCTTCTTCTTCGTCTGCTTCTTCTTCCTTGTCTTCTTCTTTTTCTTTGTCTGCTTCTTCCTCTGCCTCTTCTTCTGCTTCTTCTTCTGCTAGTTCTTCTTCTTCTTCTGCTTCTTCTGCTTCTCCTCCTTCTGCTTCTCCTCCTGCTTCTTCTGCTGCTTTTTTCCTTCTTGTTCTTATTCTTATTCTTCTTATTACTATAATGAGGAGCGTCCTTCTTACCTGTTGCTCCTCCTCATGGATTTTTGTCCCTTGAACAGGTGATTGATTTGTTATCACAGCTGTAATAACTTTGATTTAAAAAGAAGAGTTTGTGAGTTTGAGTATTCGTTTAAAGTTGTTATATTTCTAGTTTGTGGTCTGTGAGTCCAGTGGAAGTATTTCTTTTTTGTTGTTTTCCGTTTGTCTTCTGACATGGACTGACTCTGTGTGCGTGTGCATGTGTTGTAGGGGAGGAGGAGGTGTGTTGGGAATCAGGTGAAGCCAGACAGAGAGTCGCCCTCAAGACCAGAGAAGAGAGGAGGAGGAGACAGCGTTGAGGAGCAGAGGGAAGTGAGGAGACGCAGCAACAGAAGAATGGAAGACTCTGAGAAAGGCTCTGAGGAAGAGGAGGAGGATGAGGACGACGAAGAGGATGAAGAGGGGGAGAGGAGGAGAGGAGACGGGTGAGACTGAAATAAACATTCAGATTTCTGTAATTCAACTAAAACATGAAAACTGTCAGTAGTGGAAGTACTCAGATACTTTACTGAAGTAAAAGTACAGGTGCCGCAATATATACTGTCGGCTACAAATATTACTTTACGTATAAAGTAATAGATTACAATCTAAGAGTGCTTTAAACCGTGTGTGTGTGTGTGTGTGTGTGTGTGTGTGTGTGTGTGTGTGACCAGTGAGGATGAGGAGGATGGGGATTCTGTGACGGGGACGAAGGTCCGGGTGAAGTACGGCAGAGGGAAGACTCAGAAGATCTACGAGGCTCACATCAAGAAGACGGACGTGGACAACGGAGAGCAGTTTTACCTGGTTCACTACTACGGCTGGAACGTCAGGTGAGTGCAGTGTCGGAGGCGGAGTCTGTTGTCAGCTGATCAGTTAAAGGTGCAGTGTTGGGGCAGAGTCTGTTCTGACGCAGGTGTGTCCGATCCACAGATACGATGAGTGGGTGAAGGCTGACCGGATCATCTGGCCAGCAGAGAAAGGGACAAAGAAGAGACAGAGGAAGAAGGTGAAGGTGAGTTTGGTGAGGTCATGTGACCTGCTGGTGCTGAATACATAGCAATCAAATATGTGTGTGTAAATTAATAACAGACTGAGATATTTTGTGAAATAACCTTTTCAAAAATATCTGTAAACATTTGGACAGTGATTTAGTTTGATCACTTTCAGCAGACATTAGTTTAATTAGTGTGCACCCTGCAGAGAAAAACAAGATGGCCGCTGTTGTTGTTGTTGTTGTTATCTTCAGAGGTTCATGTCCTCTGTGTCCCCAACAGAACAAGGACGAGGTGGAGCGGGACAGAGACAAAGAGGAAGAGAAGCCGCCATCGCTGCCGGTGGGGAAGCCTCCAGGAGGGAAGCGAGGTCGTCCTCAAATCAGGACAACGCCCACAGGCTCAGCGGGACGCAGCGTCTCCAAAACACCCAGCACAGAGGGACGTTCCAACGGCAAGAGAACTGAGACGCCGTCCAGCATGGCCAACGGAGACAGTAAGAGACACTGAGCATGCTCAGACCAGGACAATCTGTTGTTTAATACTGGTGTGATGATGCTGATGATGTGTCCTCCTCCCCGCAGACACTCCTCGCAGGAGAACCAGGAGAACGTCGGGAATGTACGACTCTGACAGAGCATCCAATGGTGAGAACACTTCCTGTTTCCTGTCACTGATCCGGTGTTTAAGAGAACTAACTAACCAATTCACTCCTCTGTCTTCCTGCAGAGGATTCTGGGAACTCATCAGAGGACAGCGAAACAGAAGACCCACCTGACAAGAAGCCGTCGCCCTGGCGAGGGAGGACTGAAGCTCCACCCTGCCAGAAGGAGAAGGAGAAGGAGGAGGAGGTGAAGGAGGACACGAATGAGGTCGCCAGTGTCACAACGACTGCCAGTGAAAATGACAGTGCTGTTGCCGCGGCAATAGCAAGTCAGCTGCCTGTTGCCGCGGCACCGGCGAGTCCCAGCACACCTCCGAAAACGGACAAACTCCTGAGCCAATCAGAAAAGGAGGAGGCGGAGCAGAGGGAGGAGCCAGCAGTAGAAGCTGCCATGTTGCTCGTTCAACTGGATAAGGAGGAAAAAATGTCTCCGGAGCGAGTCATGAAGACGCTGTCTGTCCAAGAGACGGACAAAACGTCCCCCAGCAGGGCGTCTCCTCTGCCTGACAACAACTTGCCTCCTGAGGAGCAGCTGTCCTCCCCTCAGCCTGTCCCTGCAGAAGAAGAGGACAGCAGGTCCACTCCTCTGTCCTCCCCCAGGTCCAAAGGGCGTAGGGCCCTCCTCAGGGAGGCGGGATCTGAAACTCCTCCCAGAATACCCCTCTGCACCCCAGCCCCCACTGCCAGCCCCTCCCATGTGGCGTCTCCTCCTCGCGGCGTCCTAAAGAGACAGGATGAGCCCATGGTGGTTCTTCACTTCCTCCCCACTCAGCACCTCCCCCCTGAGTCTCCCGCCGCTGACTCTGACACAGACTCCGCCACAGAGGAGGAGCAGGAGGAGGAGGAGGGGCGGTTATCTGAAGAGAGGAGCAGCTCCACGCTTAAACGTAAAGCAGCAGAGCAACGAGCAGCAGACAAGAAGCTCCGCCCCGACAGGAGGCAGGAGGAGGCCGCCTCCCCGAAAACTTCCCCTGCCCCACCCAAGATGAACCTCTCCTCCCCCCTCCGCAGGGGGGAGTCAGAGAGAAGGAGTGAGGGAGTAATGAAGACAGAGGAGTGGCCCCGCCCGATGGAGGAGACGCCGAGGAAGGTGTCAGAGGAGCGTCTTATGGGTGGAGCCACGAAGGAGTCAGAGGTGCACACTGGGACACCGACTCCTGCTCCGGAGGCCCCGGGCCCCTCCCCCGCAGAGGAGCTGGAGATTGGCCCTGACGCACTGGTCTGCCACGAGGTGGACCTAGACGACCCTGATGAGAAGGAGAAGCCTTCCACCGCCCCAGAGCACCTCCTCCTGATGATGAGGGAGTCACAACCAGCTCCGCCCCCGCTGCCCAGCCTCCTCCACGCCTCCCTCCCCTCCCCACACACCCCCCTCCTCCCCCAGCCACAGCTCAGGCCCTTCATGCCAGTCACAACACCCAGCGCTGCCTCCTGCCCTGAGGAGCTCCACCCAGCCAGGAGCGCTGCTGAGGAGGAGAGAGGAGTAACAAGGGGGGAGCAGGAGGGAGACTCCAGTCCCGGGTTTGATGGCAGCGCCTCCTCTTCCTCCACCTCCCTTCTGTCATTGCAGGATACGAAGGACAGAGGTAAGAGTCAAGACCTGTATGAGGTTTGACCAGTGCCACAGATAACGCCTCCTCTCTACTCCTGTTTCCCTCCTCCCTTCTCTCTGTCTCTCCCTGTCTTCTCCTCCTCCTCTCTCTGTCTCTCCCCATCTTCTTGTCCTCCTCCTCCTTCTCTTTCCTGAGAGCAGAGGCCTGTATGAGGTGTGAACAGTGGTGAACATGTAAATAAATGAAGTTCAGTGTAACTAAAACATAAAGTTGCACCGCTGTAAAGCTTGAAGCTTACAGGAGTCAGTGGAAGGACTCCTAATTGGTTAGTTGTTGTAGAGAGTGACCTGTGTGACCTTTGACCCTACAGGTCAGAAGAGGGTGATGGACTGTAACTCGAGCCCGACGGCCAAGAAACAGAAACGCAACCAGAAACGACCAAACACACCTGGGAAGGTGGAGAAGAACGGAGCAGGTGAGCTGACACAGTTGAGACATTATTGCAGTGACAAGTGTTTCACGTGAACATTTATTGTCTGAAGTTCAGAGAAACGATGTAAAGGTCATGGATGTTAAAAGAGAGGTGGATCCAGTGTTGGAGGAGCGGCCTCCTTCATTCTATGAAAGTTACTCTGTGACGCATGAGACGAGGAAAGTTTGATGTCTTGGTTAGAAAATGACCTGAATCTTCTGCATCTTCAGGCCCATAGAGAAGGCGCACTAGAGAGTAGGCTAACTTCCTGTTTAGTGCTCTGCTAACTTGACTTTCCAAATGTTATCGGACTGAATGGAGCAAATCCCACACAGTGAAACGAGACATTTCACTGGGCTTTTAAGGCTAAAAAAAATGTTGCCACTGATTCACAGATGTCTCTTTCACAATGTAAGTCTATGGGAAAAGTCCCACGAGATCATGTGACCTCAAAGTTGTGATTTCACATTTAACTACTTGTCATATTGGCTTCAAGCCTGGCGCTCTTCCTGGGGGCCTTGTAAAGGTCCGCTCACTTCTTGGTTCTGAACAAGGCTATTCAAAGAAGGCGGGTACACACTCTTTGACCCCACAGTAGCTATGTGATATGACACATGTTTAATGTAACTGGGGCTGCAATGTTGGAGGGTTACAGCAGATGGCACCAGAAATGAAAGGATGGTGTCCACTCAGGTGCCTTTTGGGTGCCCTCGGCCTGTCAGAACTCTGGCTGAATCTAAACGTCTGCACTTCCCAGCACTTGCAGACTCGAGGCCGACTGCAGACCCCTCTTCTATGATCGTACGCCAGCTATTGAGCCTTTCAGCAAGTGCAGAGTAGATTTCACTGTATGTGTGTTAACCCAATGATATGACACTGTGACTTCTCGTCTTGTTAACATTCTTGGTTCTGGAGCTTTCCTTTACATCACATGGTCATCGGACATCTCCAGAATGTTGTTAAAGGGTGTTTTCAGCCCTAGAGTCGTCTCCTTTGGTCTGAATCAGGGACTCATGTTGTTCCAAAGTTGCATAAATATAAACGAACCGCACTGAGGGGGCAAACAAACTTAAATTCGACTGAACTGAACCAAGCAGGGCAGGTGTGAAGCACCCTTAAAGATTAAACAAGTTGACGACCAAAGATTGATTTTTATTTCAAGTGATGTTAATTTTGTTGTTTTAATACTAATTTTTATTTTCAATAACTTCTTTCCTTCCCCCTCTGTCCTCCCCCAGGTCACAGCAGTGACAGTGAGGACCAGTCTCGTCTGTCTCTGTCTCAAAAGTCTCACAAGTCTCGTTGTCCAGGTCTCTCATCTCCGTCGTCTCACAGTAAAGACAAACACAACTTCTCCCCTCAGAGGACGTACAAGTGGACCTTCCAGATCGGTATGCTGACAGTATTTCGAATATTTATCCTACTAACGTTAGGAGCACATTCCAAATTTCCAAGTCCTGGAGGACAAAATATAAAAACATCTCTATCATCATCATCAGCAGCTCTGATGAAGGCTCTGTGTATTTGTATTATGATGTGAACCAAGTAAACAGATGAAATGTTAATGTTTTTTTACTTCTTATATTTATAGCACTACTAATCTAGTTGGTATAATAACTGGTCTCCCTCCTCCTCCTCCTCCTCCTCCTCCTCCTCCTCCTCCTCAGATGAGCTGGACAGCATGTCGAGCACAGAGAGGATCTCCTTCCTGCAGGAGAAGCTGCAGGAGATCAGGAAGTACTACATGACCCTGAAGTCGGAGGTGGCGTCCATCGACAGACGGAGGAAGAGACTGAAGAAGAAGGAGAGAGAAGGTAGGAGGCACAGGGCATGCTGGGAAATGCAGTCCATCACATACTTGACTGTTTCCTGTCAGTTGATTATTATTTTTTTGTCCCCTCAGTGTCCAACACAACGGCGTCCACGTCGTCGGGCTCCTCAGACACAGGTATGAGTCCGTCCTCGGCCTCCCCGACTCAGAACACCGTTGCTGTGGAGTGCAGGTGATGACACGCCCACCAGTGACACGCCCACATCATCAGCCACAGCCCTTCCAACCACAGACTCCGCCCACTCAGCCAGCTCTGAGGGCATGATGGGAAAAAAACAAAATCCCTCCAGGTCAGAGGGGGGAGGGGGATAGGGGACTACCACCTGACATTAGCCCCGCCCCTCACTTGTGGACTGACTTCCTGTTTGAGGAGAGAAAGGAGACAGAAAAATCAGCCGTCTGTTCAGCTGCCACAGAACACTTTCGTTCCTTTCTTCCCTCCTTCCTCCCTTCTTCCCTTCCTCCAGTGCGTCAGTGCATCTCCTAATTTCAAAATAAAGTGAGAGGTAATTTTCTCTGGTTTAATTTTCTTTAAGTTCAAACAGGAAACAGATTCCTGAAGCTCATTATGCAATCTTTCTTTTCTTTTTCTTTTCTTGTTAACTCAGTGTTTTTTAAGAAAACAAGAAAAGATTAAAAAAAAAAAAAAAGTTTCCTGACTTCTGCTGTGAATGTTTTTGGTCTTTTTTATACGGAATCAGAGCTTTTATTTTGGTAAAAACAAACAAAAAAATGTTCAAAAAGTTTCTGATGTCACAGCCGGAGAGAAAATTAAATATTTGTAGAGACAGGTTTTTTTTTTGTTTTTTTTTTTTGTTGTTATTTTTGTGTAAAATAATTAAAATAAATCTTATTTATTCAGTTTTCTAATGTGTGTTGGTCGTATGGAAGATCATTACTGCCAGGAAAATAAACTGAGTATAGAAAACTCATTTAGAGATTATAAAATAATTAAATGAAAAATACTCATAATAAAAATGGCATGATTTTGATTTAAAAAGTCTTAAAATTTTTGGTGTAAACTTAGTAAATGTAACCTCCATACCTCATGATTTTGATTGAGGAAATTGAAGTTATGATCAGATCTCATTGTTTGAACTGGGTAAATCTGGATTTGAATCACAATTCGTTCACTTTGACTCAGAAAGTCTTAAAATGCCGTTTTAATCTAAAAAATTTCAATTGAAAAAATGAAACTTCTACTAATTTTCAATTGACTAAATCAAAATTAAAATAATGTGACTTTTTATCTCAAAATTCTGACTTGAAAGTTCATTAATTAAAAAAAAAGTAAATTTATTATCTCAAAATGTTCCTTTCGTTAATTAAAATTGAGACTTTGATATTTACTTTTGACTTAAAAGTTTGACTTTGTGTCAGTATTCTGACCTCAAGTGATTTTGAATTTAATTTTTAGAAAAACGTCTGTAATGTGGCCTCATATCTCGATTCTGACTCGTTAATATTTATGACTCGTGGTCATGATTCATACCACGAGTATCCTTCATATTTCATCGGTTTATTTTTCTTCTGGCAGCTTTGATCTTCCGTACAATTAGCACTGATGTTGCTCCTGGAGAACCTCTGCTGCACTCCCCGACTCTTCTTCTGTGGTTTCTGTCTGACAGACGGCTGTTTCCTCAACATTTCTGTGTTTGTACATAAAAGCTCGGAGTAAAGAAAAGAATAAAACACACCATGTATTTGAAAAGTACGTTTTACACGCCTGTAAAGAATGATTTATAATATTTTTTAAGAGAAGACTGTTTGTATTATGAACTCCTCCTCTGTTGTTTTTTTCTATGTGGTGTTTTGTTAGCGGCGGTTCGAGAGCGACGACTGTAAATACACACACACACACACACTTCCTCCTGAAAAGAGAAGCCATGTTGGAACTGTGTGACAATAAACAGCTCTCTGTTTCTAATAAAGTTTTTAAATATGTTTCCACGAGTCTTGATCCTGATCCAAGACCAGCTCGACTACAGGAGCGGTGCGTTCAGGTGCTCGTTGTAAAGTCATTGATCGAATACCGAACAATACTCAGGTAGGCTGTGGTGTTTAAACCATGCTCAGTTGGTACTAAGAAAATCTCCCCCACACCATTACACCA